ATCACCAGGCTTGCAGGGTCAGCAGTTTTGATTTTGAAGGCTCACACCGAGCTAACACAATGGCTCTTGAAAAGCAGAGCTTTGTTGATTTCTTAGCTCCTCTCCGAAGCGGGGAGAACCCTTTCTTCAAAGGACCGTGCTGTCCCCGCGTCCTGTGGCTGGTGAGCATGAGCCGTGGGCTGCGCCAGGGGCGGTGGGGGGGACACTGATACCATGGCTCAGTGCAGCTCAGTGCTGTGGGGCTGTGGCAGTGCTGGGAATTTTTTTGACAATGGTCACTCCTGTGGCCAGAACCGTGCTTCCTCCTGAGTCAAACAGCTCTGCAGCTGCTTCTGGTGCTGTGTTCAGGAGCAGGCAGCTGAGCTGGTATGAGGTTCTTTGGGGTGTGCAAACTCCTCAAATACCACTCTTCTTGCAGAAAAGCAGAGTCTGTGAGGTATAGCAAAAGCTGCAACCTCGGCCAATGCAATATGTGCAACTGGCATGATGAGCTCACTCAACAAATTGAGGTGAGGAGCCCACAGTCAGTTTTCAAATTCTTCAAAGGGTGAGAGAAAGGCACAAAATCCTTCCCTTCTCTTCCTTATTGTAGCACTTCTGCCTGTATTTTCCTCGTCCGCAGCCAGTCAGCAGGCAGGAGGGAGGGGCAAAGCCTATTTAGAAAGTTTTGCAAAGGTCTGCAGGTTCTCCTTGCCTACAGCGGCCGGGATGGGACCACATGTGGCCACCTACCTGGAGCTGCCTGCCCACGTGGCGATGCGCATCCTGGGAACGGGGACCTGGCAAGTACCTGCTGGAGCTGGGGACCTCTCCTTGTCCCCATGTCTCTGGTCACGCAGGTGACACCAGGGAATTGCTGAGGACCACGGTAGGCTTTTTCAGCAATCTCCCTTCAGATCAGGAAAATGCAGCAGATCCTGCGTGCGACATTTCTTGCCTGTTTCAATATTCCAGGTGATGCAGGTATTTACACCTGTCCTGCAGGAAAGTTTTGAAGTGAGCAGGTGCTGCTCACTTAGCGCAGGTAGTGAGCAGGTAGAAGGAGGTTATTCTTAGCTATGGAAAAAAATTACATACTACAAACGTAAAAACTTCTGCCTAGCTTGTTTTTCATTGGCTTTTTTTGTTCTGCTTTTGGCACTGGCTATTAAGATCCCAGCACGTTGTGTAGGTGTCATTGTTGATAAGTGCATGTAGACACAGGAATGAGTATTTCCAATCAAAGGGCGCTTGGCAATCAGTGGATTTGGAAATGGGAATTTACTTGAACTCCTTAGAGATGGAGGATGAGTTATTTGTATGGCAGCAGATGAGTACACCGCACTTCGCAGGAAAATAGTTTGGGTAGGTCTTTACCTGTGAATGTTATCTCATGGGCTTTTGTTAAGAGACGTGATTTAAGGGCGTACGCAGTTATAAATGTAAAAGGATTCTGGAAATGGGCTGAAAATTTGAAGAAAGTGAACTTCTTGGGAAATAATAAAAAAAGGTGGATTGTCCCCTGGATTTGAGAGTGGAAACTAAACATGTTGAACTGCAAGCTGCCAAGTCTATGAAGCACCATCCAGTCAGCATAAAAGTATCTTCAATTATTCTTGCTGTATTTTGGGGTCAGCTGCTGTTAATTGTCACACGCACAAATGGGGCTGAGTTTCTTTAACCCTTTCAGTCTTGACTGGTCCGGTGACAAAAGACACTAAGAAGCCTAAAGTAACTAAATAGGCTTTCAAAAAACAAAGTGTGCCTTGCGTGGGGCCTCTTCGGGCACTGGCGCGGCGATGGATGAGCTCTCTGGAGCAACCTGTTAGGACACCAACAGGAACTGGGCAGGACTAAACGGAAGGAAAATTTTGGACCCACGAGACTCGCCACCACAAAAATCTCTTGTGTTAATGCAGTGATAACATGGCCCAAACCCACTGTGGTTGCTTAATCAAAGCTAATTGATCTCAAGGTTCCCACAGCAACTTCAGCTGCGAATGCCTGCGTTCCAGCGTGGTCGTGGGGCCTCTCGTTTACCCGGTCACGCTCACTTCGGGAATCACGGAATCACAGAACGTTCGGGGTTGGAAGGGACCTCTGTGGGTCATCTAGTCCAACCCCCCTGCTGAAGCAGGGTCACCCAGAGCAGGCTGCACAGGACCTTGTCCAGGCGGGTCTTGAATATCTGCAGAGAAGGAACCTGAATCCCTGCTCAGTGAGCACCATGTGAAATGAAGCAACGGATGATTTTTTTTCTGAAAAACATCTCAAGGTCCAGAGTTTTGTGTATATTGTCACCCCTTTTGATTTAGGTCAACAAACCAAGCACCCTTCGATTGGAAATACTTGGAGAAGTGAAATCTTTAAAAAAAACCCAGATGATGGGTGGGGATGTAATGAAGTTGAACATAGGAGATGGTCGCAGTTTTGAATTATGTTTCAGTTTGAAGTGCCATTTTCCAGAATCGGTATCCAGTCATCAAACAACTCTTCAGTGTCTCGAAGCCAAGCATCTGAAGTGATTTACTTTGCTATTAAATCCCAGGTTGTGTATTTTACCCGGGAGGTGGCACTGTCTGTAGTGTTTTGCCGTCCTCTCGCCTCCCTTGTCCTGTGTCAACAAGAGAGCCAGCTTGTTTGTGTGCCGGGCCAGCAAGCTTCCCAGCGGTGATTTATTTCCTCATGTCGCCAGTATCTCACACTAAAATTGCTTTTAATTTATGGGAAAATTAGAAATTATTTCAAGATAGCCTGGTGTCCGAATGTGAACGTTCAGTCCTGGGATAAGGGCAGATCAGCTCAGGCAACTCACCAGTGACTCCCACGGCCATTTTATTCCGGAAAACTAATGAAAGCAAGATCCAGACTGAAACACCTAATTATCTGGGGGCTTAAAGTCTCCAGATTTGGCAAACAGCAAACTTCTTTTTCTGCTATTTACCAAATTACTGACTTTTCTTCTTGTTTTGGTCTCTCCAAGGAACAGCAAGAGATGCAGTGATGGCTGCCATCGATGTTGGGTACCGCCACTTTGATTGTCTCTACCTGCAACAGAACGAGAGTGACATTGGAGATGCGCTACAAGAAAAAATGGAGGATGGGGCTGTGAGGCAAGAAGACCTCTTCATTGTCAGTAAGGTATGTCCTTGGATAACTTGTCTCACGTGAGGGCAGCTCTCAGGAGGAGAGACAAAGTCCCAGCCTGCAAAGTGCCAAGGGATGAAGCTGGTGCGGGAATTAACTCCTCTCCGTCAGGACAAAGCGTTTTGTGGATGGAGGGAAGGAAGAGGTCAACTCTTGGGGGAAAAAAAAAGGGGGGGCTTGATTGGAGAGGGATTTTTTTGTAGTCCATATCCATTGTCAGCCATGGAGACAGGAACTGAGGCCGTGCTCTCAGTTGCCTCTGGGATAGGAAGCAGGGCCATTGTATTGCTGGCCGCTCCCGCTGCGCTGCCGGCCGCAGTCTGTTAGCTCCTGGAGGTTGTGTTTTGGTTTGTTTTTTCCCCCCAACAACAATGGTAGGAAAAATAAAGTAACTTCTATCTGCTGGAAACTGGCGGTTCGATTTTCGCCAGTTTTGCTTTTTTTTTTTCCTTGTTTTGTTTAATTGTTGTATGAATCGCTGGGATTTTGGAGTATCTCCTTCTCATATCACTTAACTGACAGCACTGCGAATAAAACAAGGTTCACAAACGCGGCGCTTCCTCAGGACGAGCAAAAGTGCCATCCCACGAGCTGCCTCTGTGCCTGCGCCGAGTGCTCCCCCGCCAGGGATGCTCCGCGGTCGTGAGGCTCCGAGAGCAGCTCCCAGGCCTTGCGTTACGCCCGCAGCGGTGGTCCGCCTTCCACCAGAGATCCCTGCTGAAGGAGGAACACCAGAAAACACTTGTTGCCCTCCAGCTGGGTTCTCGGGGTCTCTACCCGATGCACTGGCCCACGGGATTCAAGGCACTGAGACTTTAACTCCTGGGAGCCGTCTGTCAGAGCTCGGCCAATTCTTCCTTCTCGACCAGACAAGCCTTTCGTCCTCTCTGATGCGGAGTGTTGTTAAAACTCATTAGGACATCATGACAACCTCTGCACGGAGTGCCCAGGAGGAAAGGTCAGGTCACAGCTGCTTAAGCTAGGTCTTGTAGTACAAAAATCACCTTATTTTACCCTGAGCAGCATTTCCATGTCATGCATCAAACTCTCATCCGGATCACATTCCTCTTAAAGTCTGCGATCTGGCTGTCATTTTGCTCATCCAGGATCAAACAGTTGTGAATTACTTAGCTCCTATTTTTCTCTTCTCTCTCTAGCCCCAGGTTAAATGAATCCTCGTTTGCCCATCGTGTGTCACATCCCTGGCCTTCCCCAGCCTGAGTGAGGCACGTGAAAGCGTCTGCCCTTCCTCTGCCTGCAGGACAGCTTGATGCTCAAGAGACAGATTTTCTTGAAGATGACTCTGTTCATACAGTTTACTGGTTTTGGCCACCTCTGTCCCTAGCACAAACATGAGCCTGGATATCCAGCCGGTCTCCAGTTCCACTCGCTTGTAGAAATTGAGTGATCTCTTTAACTACTTAGGATTCAGCCTACCTTAAACTCGCTTTTCTTTTGTGGTGATGGGCAGGAGAGGAGCTGTTTCCTGCAGATGGAAGAGGCATAATCATTCCCCGTGATACAGATTTTCTGGGTCCGTGGGAGGTACGTTTGTTGACAGGCAAAAAAATTCTTGCTAGTTTGAAATGACAGCCTGAAAACTTTAAGGTTTCCAGGTTGGGAATAGTTCTGAGAGAATTTCTGATGTGAAGAATTCCAGATTCTTGATTTCTCTGTGCCCTTGGGCTCCTTCTTGTGTTACTTGGCCAAAACTGAGGTATTTTTATGTCTGCAGCTTACTAAACTGGCTGGGTGGGCATGGCAAGAGGAAACCTTTGACTGTTTGTGTACCCTGCGGTGCCTTGCGCTGACATACGCTGTCGCTTCAGTCCCCACACCACTCTCTGGACGTGTGTCGGTGGCCTCAGCTGTAGCCATGCTCATCCCTCGCTGCAGCCGAGATGTCCAGACCCCAGGAAAGTCGACACACCCGTGCCAACATACCCAGAGCATCCAAACTCCCCCCCAGCTCTGGAAAAGTACCGGTGCTTGCCCAAAGCCCATCGCTAGAGCTGCGGACACTTCAGGCTGTTGCTTATGATAGCAGCTTCAAATAAAAATGATTTCTGCTTTGGAAGAGGTGTCTCTTCTGCTCTAAAGGCTGGTAGTACATTATTTTCTTCTGTTTCTTTTCTGCTGGAGGTGCCCATCTCATTAGGGCTGTCCAGCTGTTTTATCGTTTTGTAGTGTGAAAGAAAATGGGTGGGGGGGGGGACACGGCACCGCCTGTACTCCACTGCCACCAATACATGGTACATCTCCCTTAGGGAATCAGTCTGCGCTGATGGGCTGGTGTCCTGCTCTAGCTCCTTGTTGAGCTGCCCTGGTCCAAATGACAAGCTTTTTTTTAATGTGCTAATTACTCTGTTAGCTGAGGAATTATCCTAAAAAAACACCCTCTTTTATTTATGAGCAGAGGATCTACCTGGGGATAATATTTCAAGATAGTTGTATTACTGAAATAATAATAGTGTAGTGATTGTTAATCTTGAATAATGCTGTTATTTATTTGTATGATGACACACGACGTGACAGCCTGAGTCTTTGACCAGGGTCCCACCGTTCAATGTGCTACACTGATGCCACATCAGGAGAGGATTCCAGCCATGATGAGTTTTACCACTGAAGTCTTTGCGCAGGCATTTTTTCCATGTGAAAAAAAAAGATCGCAAGTCTGATTCTGTAGTGTTTCTAGGCTGTGGAAGGGCTGGGGAATGCAGGAATGGTAAAGGCCGTTGGAGTCTCCAACTTCAACCGCAAACAGATAGATCGACTCCTGAGCAAACCAGTGTTACCCGTAATTGTATCATGGCAGCACCAGGCTTAAGACACAAACCTGCAACGATCAGGTAAATTGTTCTCAAGGGCTGAAATTGTTCTCCTGGGCTGAAAGTGCAAACTTCTCCCTTCTTCTGGCTGCACCACCAAGCTCGCGCAGGCCGAGAGCTGAGCTCTGCAGCGGAGAACGCGGTGGGGCTGACCCTGCTCCGTCCATCGAGCCCCCGCGGAAGAGGTGGCTGCGCGAATAGGTGGCACCAGAGCCAGGCTGCGCTGCCGGGGGGAAGAGGTAGGACGGGATGATGCCAGAGGCGGGTGCTTCAGCTGGATGTGCACAGCTGAACCTGGAGCCCACTGATACGGGGACTGCGAGAGGCCATGAGCAGTGAGGCAGGCAGCTGGAAAGAGAAGCTAATGTATGAAGACTGGGCCTCGCTGGAGGCAGGGTTGGGAAGAAGGGGAAATGATCTGAAATACTGGCTGACTCTCAAAAACCCCAAGGCTGCAAAAAGAACAACCTTTTCAAAGCTGATGCGGCAGCTTGGTAGGTCACCATAGAGATGCTAAACCTTGAAGTACCTTCTGCTTTTGAAGAAACCTAATATTTTTGTTCGCAGATTGAGATCCACCCCATCTTCCTCAGGAAGAGCTGATGAAGTTCTGCCAGTCCAAAGGGATCTCTGTCACTGCATATTGTCCCCTTGGAGTGCCCAACTGGCCATGGTAAGAATGCTTTGCGAGACTTATTAGACACGGATTGGGGCCAATAAAGTAAACCAGTCTTAGGACGTGCATAAACCCTCACAGAGTAAAACCGATGTAGTTAGAAAAATACTCATTTGTTAAAAATTACAAGCACACAGAAACCCCCCTCACACTTACTGTGATATGCAATCCACTAATTCATACCCGTGCTGTTATCAGAGTTTTGTATTTAGGAGAAAAAGGATCAATTGGTTGGTGAAAGTTGTGAAGATAATTATTGAGTTTGTGTGAGCTTATTAAACACATAAGAAAACTTCTGAACTAAAAAAAAAAACCCAAACCAAATTGATTTTATTCCAGTCTTCATGGCTTTCTCCAACCCGGGACAGGGCGTTTACCAGAGCAGCTGTGCTTGTGAAGAACGTGACAGCTGCCCAATTCTCCAGATGAAAATTTCAGGATCTGGACCAAAGAAATTCCCGGCCTGATCCCAGGCTGGACTGAAATGTGTTACAGTGACCTGCTATACTAGAAACTACATGCCTGTTCTCACCTGCCAGCCTGAGATGAAAGGAACTGAATGAAGGTAGGGACTGGAGCAATGAGAAGATGGTGAATTAAAGTGTGTAAGATGATGGTTTCTTAGCATTTAAATAACATTCTTACACTGCAATGCTTGAGGGAGAAGACGGTGGGCCATTCAACTGCTGATGTCTGCTTTTTGTTTTCACAGGTCCAAGCCTGAGGATATTTCCCTTTCTGATGAGCCCCAAATCAAGGAAATTGCACTCAACTGCAACAAAACCCCAGCTCAGGTTAATGCTGGTCATAGTATTTTCCCTGGTGACATGCATTTTTCCCCACTTGTGCTAAAGTAACTATTGACAGAGGTATTATGGAAAGCCGAGTTCCAGCTGTGTCTCATACACACTGCAATGCTTTAAAAAAATATGACCTGTGACACTAGTTTTAATGATGGACAGAAGATTGCCAATGGCTTTGGGCTTTAACTGGCATGCTAGCCACCTCCACACACAGCATCCCCGCCCAGTCCTGAGCTCTTGGTCAATGTGCTCCCATGCTGTCACCTCAGCTTCCGAGACAGATAATGATTAAATGATGTTCCTGCAGGTGCTTCTCTGGCTCCAGGTTCAAGGAAATGGGAGGGTAATTCCCAAATCTGTCACTCCACATCATGCTGAGGAAAACTTGAAGGTAAGAGGTTACCTTACAAAATTATTAATGGTGTTAAACTTTACACAGAAAAATCCCCTCTGCCAGTGGAACGAAGTACCCCTTTCATACTTAGGACTGGCAAAACCTCCTGTCTGTCAGACACTACGTAGGTTACTTCTTTGTGAATACAGAAAGTTCCATTAAAAAGTAAGGAGTCAAGTCTCCTTCATTAGAACACATCAAGTACAAGAGATTAACTTTTCCACCTTGTGATATAAATATGCTGCAGTTAGACCCCACCAGCACTGTAACTTTATGACATTTATTCATTGCTCACCACAAACACGCACCTATTGCACCCATTCCAGCATTTCAACAAATACAGTGCTTTTCTACTTCTGGCTTTGGCATTCCTTCTGCAAATGAACCTACACGCATCTTTTTGCAATCTGAAGTAACCCAGCTGTTTGGGACCTTTATTCAGGTGTTTGATGTTTAATTGGCTAGAGGAGATGGAAACCTTCCCTGCTTTCAAGCAGCAGTATTGCATCTGTGCATTAGGCAATGGAGTGCCTCCTTCTCCTCCTCATTTAGCAACACTGTATTATCACTGGATAGCCTCTTAACGGACAGTATTTGACAGCCCCACTTAAAAAGAGAGGGAACCTTAGCCAGTACTTGGTCACATCCACATCTGCTGAAATCCAGCCCAAGGGTTTATTGGAGCATTGCCTGTCTTGTAGGGGTTGGCGGCAGTGGGATGTTTGCAGGTACGCTGTGTGTTACAGTATCTTGTAACAGATGCATACCAAACCGTGGTCTGAAAATCAAAATCGGCCAGAAACTCCAAAATAAATAGGCAGCAGGGTTTTTTTCTGTTTTCTTTGGCTACTTCTTATAAGAGACAGTAGTGTAAATAAACTCCATTTTAAGAATGAGAGTTGTAAGTTTTTTTGAAGGGAAAAGCTGTGCCTAAGTATCGATGCCAACATTATTAAGGCAGCACCTAGATAACAGAATGGTTACAGACTTACCAAGACTGGCAATTTATTCTGTTTTCCCAGGTTACCCACCTATCTCATCGCATGCTGCAGACTTCAGAGTTCCCAAGAGAACAGTTAAATATCGCAGGGAAGTTTGGCGATTCCAGCTAAGCCAAAGATACATTATCTTCTCACAACAAGGTCACTGGTATGCGCGAAGGTTACAGAGCGTTAACTGCCACTGCCCTGTATACACTAAGCAGACTCACATTAGTGTGTTTACTGTAGTTCAGAGTTTTAGTTATGCAGAGCTTTTGTCAGGGGATAAAAGCTGCTTCTTCTTAGCCTTAGGCCTATATCCTTAAGGGTTTTAATCATACTCTCTTCTTCTAGATGCAAAAAAATCACAAGAACTATCATTTTTTGGAAGACTAACATAGGCATCATCTTCAGATCCTCTGGGATCAGGACCATATGTCATTGTTTCAAGCAATCTGTAATACTTCATGTGTATTAAATCACAATATAAGTGGAATATGTATTACAAGATGGGAGAAGGTAGCTCACAGGCATTCTGAAGAGCAGTGTTTGAGCGTGCATGCATTTGCTTCCCTTATTATCTACCACAGTCATATCTAGTCCTTTATCCGTATCTTTGCTCTGCTCTTGTAGCAAAATACCCAGTTGGAGCAAAACATGATCTTCTCTCATCATTTAATAATGATATAGAAGTTTAATAAACCTGAATCTTCGGGATTTGTGAAGAACAGTCTTTGTAATAAATATCAATCCTGACAAATTTTGGAGAAATCTGAATTCTCCTAGGGGTTCTATTTTTGGACAAAAGGTCAAAACATACACTATCTTTTAGTTGTTAATGTAAGACAATCCATCTTTAGGAGATAAGACAAAACACTGCTTGAGATTCTTAGTTCAGTAATTTCAGCGTAACAGACAAAGCCCTTGAGAGGACACTGCTGAACTATGTTTCAGAAGCAGTTTTCTTAATGAGGTTTCCTATTTATGAACTGCTAAAAACTAACAAACTGGTAGGAGATTTGTATGTTTGGTTTATCATATCTACAAGAGTATATAAATACTGCCTTTATCAGGAGAAAGGCTGCAGTTAATACTGTGAATCTCTCCCAGCAAATCCAGAGTCTGATAAAATAGACACAGAGGAATTATTTTGTTTGGCAACTGTCTTATTTAACAAGCAGAAAAGTTGGGCAACTTCATAGCAGCCAACAGTAAATTTTCGCTCTCTTGTACTGCTCCCTAGATACTATCTGCTTATGTTTTGACTCCAAGGATGTCACTGGATGTTGTTTTCTCTGGTAAAAAAAAAAAAAACAACTGCTACTGCAGCCCATGCACCTGCTGGAGTTTTAATAAGGTATCTGTTAATCCAGACTTCTTGCTCTTGAACTCTAACAGGCAACTCAAAACTCCTCTAATGGCTTGCGGCTCTTCCAGCCCAGCAGAAGAACAATGCGGAGCAGCACTGCCTGCAGAGAGGAAGGACGATTGTGTAATTAAGGTTCAGGGCTAGGATATACACTTCATGGACATCCTTTTCCAACTGATTTTCTTTGTAGTTGAGGTTTTAAAGTCTATAAAGGAAATGACATATTTTTAGACTTCTGCAAGATGTTTGAATAACAGGTGCCCTAGAAATGGCAAAGTAATTCCATCAAATTGGATTTCCTACAGCAATTCTTCTAATCAGCAATTGACACCAAACAGTTCCAGTGCAGTGGTATGGACAGGAAGGTGCCTGTAATAGGTACTCTCTTTTTTCCTCCCCCTGAACATGCTAAATTAAAAGGTCAGCTACAGGGTATCATCACAGCCACAGTCAGAAAAGGAGCTGCATGGAAGATGCTCTGCTTCCAGGCATTCAGCCTGTGGTCAGTTGTCCATCTACAGCAGCAGGAGCACTACCCACTGAAGGCTGTGGCATACAGCCTGTCTAGAGATATTCTCTACTTCACAGGAATTTTCTATCAACATTCCAATTTAAACACGGCTCTGGGACTTGAAGCTATTTACAGGATGTTTATAGATGGTGGTAGGCAGGAAGTCAGACTAGATGAGCACAGTAGCCCTATAATAGTAAAAAATTCAAAACAAGTTAGAAGCCAGAGATTGTGTGTTTGTTTTGGAGACAATAGATCATTTTCAGCTGCAGAGGCTTTAGTAAATGTAAAAGGAGAAAAGCTGGGGTGATGTCAGTTACTGAGAAATAAAGTACCTTCTGTTTTGCAGCAGAGCTTCAGCCATATGACTTAAAGGCAACATGCCTTCTAGCAGAGCATTGCTGCCTCACAGAAGCCCGTGATGGCAGCCAGCCTGCTGCTGTAAGCCACTTGGGAAGCGCCCTTCCTAGCTTCCCCACTTCACCCACCACAACATCCATGCCAGAAGGGCACTGCTCTAACTGCATCTGCTAGCAGTAGAGAGGAAACTATGAAGTATGATCTCCCTTGTGTTCGGCTTTGAGGATTCCAAAAAATCTTCCAGCCTCTTCTGTGGTTTTTTGTGAGTTCAGACTTTGCTTTACATATAACCTACTTGTTAAGAAAATAAAAATTGTCATGGCAGGCTAGGGTAGAGACTCAGGCTTGTTTTACTGCTATTGTAAATTCAGTTGACTAACGAAGAGCAAGTGTTCTGTTGGTCAGATCACTGCAGCAGAAGAGAGGCAGGGACAAGCTACACCCATCTTTTTTAAAGAGTTTCATTTCTTCTGTCAGCGCAGGCACCTAAGGCAGAGGTAGCAGAGAGCATTGCCACATGCAGACAAGCGCTGGAAACTTTCTAGTCTCCAGATTCACCTGAAACCTGTGTTAATAAGTCAGTGTGTACTGATGGCCATTCAACCCCCTCCCTTTTCTGTGGCTGTAACTAATTCAACTGCATGCTGCTATCTAGGTAGCCTCAAGGTACACGCAGTGACAGTCTGTCTCCATGTACTTTTCAGTGACTCGTGGAGCATTTGTTAGTTATTAATCCCCAAGCTAGATCAATGTCTAATGCAAGGAGCAGATGTGCAAGGGGCCACAGATCTAGCACTTCATAGACCTGAAAATAACAAGGCCATCTCTAAAAGGCAGGAGAGAACACGCCACAATACAAACAAAATGCTTCAGGAAAAGAACATGAGTGTTCTCCCAGTATCAGATGCAGCATAAATAGGCTCAAGTCACCACGACCAGCTCTAGTGAGTGGACTAAGCTTCCTGAAGGACTAGCAGCTTCTGCTCCTGTGTGCCTGCCTCCTCAGCAGCGTAATCATCAGCTTTCTGTTGAACTATAGCAAGATGTTTCTGTTATTCCCAGATAATTTTCAGTTTCCATCAGCTACGTAACAGTGCTCTTAGACCAAACCCAGATACATCTTGACTAGTCAGCAGCGAGATTATCTGTGCCAGTGGACTGAACCCAGTAAAATGGAAGACACCTTAGCTCAGCATTTTCCCTTTGTCTCACAACATGTTGTCCCATGACATGAGCTTTTATTGTGCAGTTCATCCATTCTGGTAGTCAAGCCTTCATTAAAAGTTCCAAAGGGGATGAACAAAAAAAAGCGTTACATGCATGCTTTAGAGGGAAAATAGGATAATGTAGGTAACAAACAATAGGTAAAATTCACAATTCTTTGCTGATCATTGCTGCTCAGGTTTTTCCATCTACTACAATTCCAAGCTCTTTCTTATTGAGCTCAATATCATTCAAAAGCAAACAGAATGAAGGGAAAAAAAGAAACAATAAGATAGAGACCCATTCCATGAACTTTTTGCATTCAGTCCTGCACAAAAAGTTCTGGCCCTTACCTTCCTCTATATTGTAAAAAAGATTTATAGAGGACTGACTAGGATAATCAATGGCATAGGAATAATTTATATAGGTGGCAATTAAGTAGGCTAATATTTTCCTTGACATGACACCAGTGCAGGGAGCTATGCCAGAAGTTTACCAAATCTGGAGCAGCTTGGAAAGCATGACTGGAAACAGACCAGCTGCTATCCCTCCACTGTATAAACCAGCAGCATCTAATGAATCTAGCAGCACACAAGCCCAAACCAAGTAAGACAGCACAATTCCTCACAAGATCCACAGGTGTGAAATATCATTCCCTTGAAATGTAACAGACTCACAAGGTAAGTGAACAAGTTAACTGATGGCTATTAAAAACAGAAGATCTTACATTGCTGCCAGAATATTTAAAGAACACAGCACTGCAATGCTCAGCTTACTCATCTTCAACAGCTTGTTTCAGCCACAGTCGGAGACAGGAGGCTGCAGTGGGTATTTAGTCTGGTTCAGTTCAGCTGGTCTTTAGAGCAGCTGTTCTGTGTCCCCATTCAGCAGAAGACTCCAGATTTCTAATCATATCTTCAAACATAGTGATTACAGATTAAAAATCCAAATACAGGACTTTCTTTTCCTGTTTTGAAGAATGTAGCTTCCTATGCCCCAGATTTCACAACTCTGCACAAACATTACAGTATGCACTTGTGGGAGTCTCGTGAACTCAGCAAGAAATCCCACCCCTCTCCTTCCCCAGAGAGAAAAACAAAGACGAAGTTACAGAGCATCATATAAAAAGTGATTCTAGTCAGGCAGGCTTGTGTATTTATGTTCAAATATCAGAAATCATTTTCTCCCAAAGGAACATCAACTGCAACCTGAAACATACTGTGCCTATACAACTATGTGTGGTATCCTACCTCCATCCAGGAAGATGCCAATTCCAGCTGCTTCTTGCATTCTCCCTCTGCTGCCCACCGCTCGCCCCCCCCCCCCCCCAATGTCAAAAGGTCTTTTGCCTCCTCCAGTGAAGTAATTGTCGATTTTCTCTACCCATTTTCCCCAATAAATCAGATTTATTCCATCAGAGCCATTTTCTTTTTCCATGAAAAAAGGCCTGCTAATCTGGTATCATTTGAAGCAGTGAGTACAGCTGGAAGTGAAACAAGTTTTGAGTGCAAGTACCAATTCCACTGGTCCCAAGAACATGATTTTTCCCGTCTCCTGCTCTTAATCTTCCCTGTAAGCTGGACTCCTCTCTCCTATGGTGTGCTACAGTATCACACTGGCTTCACTGCTGCAGCAGAGGCCTGAGAAAGTCTAGTACAAGAGGTCAACAATGTGGAGCTGAACTGTGAGTTCTGAAATCAAAACCACAAAACAAACACAACCACTTTTCATTGGAAGAGCTACAAGACTGTATTTGTCCTTAAAAATGTCTTTGATCAGAAACCTAGAGATCTGTCAAATCTCACTACAAAAACAAATGCTGTGAACAGTTACAGCAGGAAGAGCGCAGTTCGTAGGAATGCGAGGCTCCGGATATCTAATTCTTTGATCTTTCCACCTTACCTTTTAGGACATGAAAGCAAATCTCTACCCTTGCAGGCAGAGAGCATGGTACAAGTGCAGGGGTACAACAGCCATTTGTTTTACTGTAACAACCCCCAGATCAACCAAGATTAAATGAACGCTTGACTGGCTCTTCCTCGATCTCAGCCTTATTTAATTATATCTGGCCATGCAGAAGCAACCCAAAATAATTCTGGGCAACAGGGTTTTCTATCACTCCCTTCCTTCCCACTCCTCATCCTTTCTGACAACAGCATGCTTTCTGTTCAAGGTTACACATCATTGCCCCTTCGCTCAGGTGCTTCTCTGTTTCTCCTCTACTCCTGCTCTCATACTTCACCAAGGATCCAAGCCTGCTGCCAGTTAAGCACTGTGTCCCAGAGCAACCCTTTCCAAATTCCTTCCCTCTAAGTCATCCAGCAAAATACAGAGCGCGCCTGTTACAATACCACTCCACCCCGAGCGCTGGCTAGTCTTCCTTCTGCTGCAGACCAGTCTGTCCAAAAGACTTCTCCAGTAAAATTCCTACTCCGAGAATGGAAAATTTCAGGCACAAGCTTTCATAAAGTTACAGTGAAATGAAAACAGAGGAAATCAACAGAACCTAATGTCCTATTTTGGAAACCCTGACCTTCAGTGTAACTTCTTGCCAGAACACACTTTTCACAAAAATGTTATTCCCAAGAAAGTGAACATTGCCCCAAACAGTTTTCTGTCACAGCTCAGACTAATCTAAGAACATTAGCTGTTCTGCTTTTTTTAGATGCCTTCGGGCTTTTATTTATTGCATTACAGATATACAAGAACACTTGCAGAGCTGGAGCGTTTTGCATTTGCTTTTAAGCCCAGAATTTAAAGCAATTATAATAAATTTATGTGAGGAGAATCAGCATTCTAGGAGAATACTGCTTAAAGTCAGACATTGATTCTCTCCTCCCTCCTCACGCTGTAAGTTAACTTTGTCTTGTCTGTTCAGCCTATTGCAAATTGTTCTGACCAAAACCACATTGCATGTAAAGTTTCGCCTCAGCACCAGTGGAAAGATTTAAAAGAAACATTTGAAGATAAAAATCTGTTTTCTCAGTATAATGGTTAGTACTTATCAGAAAGCAGAAAAGTAAGGTAGTATGATTCCTTAGTACCTTTTTATCAGCACCAGGAAACAAACCACCTACTTTGCAAATAGTTTGAGAACAACTGCTTCCATGGTCCATTTTTACATCGCCACTGCTGAGTTGCCTTCAAGGTACACTAACTATACAGCTACGGAATCAGAATCCTACCTTACATCTACCATTTAGGGGTGGTTATGCATTAACAGTTCTGAAGTCTCCCTTTTTACCTGTTCAGAAAGAACCTGCTTTCTGCCAGGCCTACACAGCCTCCTTCAAAGGACAGTTCATACTCTAGATCAACCCAGACCTTGGAAAAACATTTACAAGAACACACAAGAAAATCACCCCAACACTAGCCACTGTTTTCCCAAGTGCCCAAATGCATTTTCTGAATAGTCTTCAGCAGCTCTCAGAAGGCAACAACTTTAAAACCATTACTTGCAAGTATTGTCAAAACCATAAAAAACCCAAGGAACTAACACACCTCAAATGTCAAGATCTGGGTATGAGCCTACTTTTCTGTCCTCCCTGAGCAGAGCAGTAAGTTTCCGATCTGCTAGCTCAGGACACAGAAGTTTCTTGGAAACCCATATCGAATTTATTTGCAAATGGTTGCTTGTACAAGCACAGCAGTCTTTTCTGCATCACGTGCTGCTTGCTTGGAAAGGGCAAGTTGTCTACTGCTTACTACTTGAACAATCCCATAGGATTAAGCAGGCTTAATGTCTTCAATTGAGTAAGTTTTTTGCTAGCCAAAATACACTATCACTTGAGTAAAATAAAGACTGATTTAAACATCAGTATATTAGTTGTCAGACAGCTCTAGCTCTAAGGAGAGGCTCAAGTAGAGTCATCAATGGCCCCAAGTTCATCATACTCAGCTGTTCCACATGTGCACTAGCATGAGAACAGCAGACAGCTAGCAGGAGGAATGTAAGAACTTAACATCAACACCAGATGATTGCTTGGGGGACAGTAATTTTCCTTGCTTTTATGTAATTTCTAGAGACAGCTGATATAATACAGCTACTCCACCATCACAGCATTGCTGAAATAACCATCTCACTACACACAGTAATGAAACTATATTTTATTATAAGCAAAAACAGCTTTTATATCACCAAGAAACCAGGACCTATATGCTTTTCAGAGTTACCCACGTAGAAACTGCTGTACTCAGAAACCAACTTGTACTTCCAATTAGAGAAAAAAGCATGGAGTGTTACAAAAAAACCAAAACCAAACCCAAAGTAATCAGAAAAAAGCAGACTTCACATTAATTATGTAAATCTGCCATATCCTGGTCCTTCCAGACAACAATAGTCACTGGCTCCAATTCACAGTATTCCAAAATAAAAGTGACTGCTAGTTCAAACTTTCTCAATATTTTCTGCTTACCAGTTCCAGACATGCAGTTTGGCAAAAACAATCTACTAGTCCACACAGTGTGCTCTTCAGAACCATTTTAGCATTTCCTTCTTCCACAAAAGAAAACAGAAAGTCACTGAGTATATATACTGCATCTTTGCAGGGGGAGGGAAGAAAAAAAGAGGGGGTCTGATGCAGTGAGGTGAGAAAGCTACGTAAACAACTCAGGCAACAGCAGAAGAGTATCTGAGAAGTCTGGAGAAAGGCAGGAAATCATCTTCAGTACTCTGCACTGAAAGGGTAGTCCTTGTGAGTTTTGCACCTGAAGGAAATCAAAGAGGAAAGATTATCTCATGCCTGAAAAATACTATATGCAACGGCAGCCACTAAAGAGCCACCAAGAGAGGAGCTGAACTGTATAAAAGGCAGAGTCAATTTGTTTCTGTCTTCCTTGTGACATGCTGCATTTGTGAGCAGAAAGATACCAAGTGCCTTCTGTTGTTTGGGCTCTGAACATTTCAGCTGATGCGACTGAGGTGCTTTGTAGACAAGTAATTCAAGGTTTCACTGTCTACTGCCAGGAAGAGTTTTTTTGTAGCCTTCCAAAGATTTCCTAACTGGCTTTAGGCTTTCAAGCTGCAAATCTTTGTATTACTTTTCAAACGTTCACCCACTTTCCCACCCACTCCTGAAGAACATATGGTCAGTTTTTATAATATACCTAAGGGTTGTGGCACAAAGACAAAATAAATTTTACAAGCAAAATTAAATAATTTGAGTCTGCATCATGCTTGTTTCTCCAATATGGAGAAAATAAAGATTACGAATAAGAAGCCTCCTGTTGCAATTCCAGCTACAAAAAGTTTCTTGGAGACTGAAGTTTGCTTTATACTAATCATTAATTGGTTTATAACACAAACACTTAAAAACTTACTCTGAAAAGTTATTTTGAGGATGAGCCCTTAGGAAACTGAGTTTGCATATCCTGAATTCCAACCAAGCCTCATACCTGTAACTTCATGTACTGAACTACGACATACTGATAACAGCTTGAAAAAACCCCACCCCACTGCCACTTACGTGCTCATTGCACAGGCTCTCCAGTTTCTATTGAAGCTGAGAATAGTTGCCATCTCCTCTTTAGTCAATTCAAAGTCAAACACCTAGCAAGAGAAACAGCTGGAAATCAACTCTGAACAAATCAGAGACTGTAAGCAAAATTCACAAACTTAAACAAGTCAACTGTGTAAGGGTGCTTGTTAGAAGACATAAGTGCTTCATGAAGGAGGGGAAGGAAAGACAGCTCTCTGGATTTCTGAGACTACGCTAGCTGAGTGAGCAGGGAGAGGGAGGAATTAAAAACAATCTCAAGTTGCAGTTTATGTGCCAGTTGTTTTAAGAAGCTTAGAGAGCACTTGGTGCTGCAGAATGCCTTCATCCTCCATCTGTGAAAGATGCATCTCTCTGTCCTCTTCCAAAGGAACATCTACAGACTTTCACATTGCACGTAGCGCAACTAAGCACCTTCCAAAATTTGGGAAGATCCAATACTGGTTTCAGTTGAGGATCACTGAATCAAAAGCAGTGACATGGTTTATGGAGACCAGGACTATTTTCTTAATGGTGCTTGTTCTATGTAAGCCATTTGTGGTGTGCTACTACACTCTGGCCCCAAGCAAGCTCTGTCAGCTGTTTCATCCACGTGACGGAACAGGAAGCATCACATAATGTGACTGCAAAGATTATAAGCACACTGTTTCCAGAAGCTTTGTTCACTCCAGCTCCCCAACTGTAGGCTTAAGTTTAGCCCTCAGTATAGTGTAGATAAACATACAGACAGAAAAAGCCCACTCCTCTTGCCTAAGGAGGACCTGGGAAGAGTGAGAAGGCACCACTGCTTGCTCTGCAGCGAGAAGGGAGAAACCACATCGCCCAGGTCACTCACAATCACTCACCTTGAAGTTCTCCACAATGCGCTGTGGTGTGACAGACTTGGGAATCACAATCACATTTCTCTGGATGTGGAACCGAATGAGAACCTGCAAGGTGCATACCACAGTCAGAGACAGGACGGCTTTTGTTCTATGGCAAGCAGAGCCTGTTCCAACAACTGTTTGCTGCAAACCGTACAATTCAGCAGGTTTAACCCATTTCTGCAGCACTACAATTCAAATCATAACTGAAGTCTAAGCAGCACTTCCCAAAGTGCAAATACAGAAGTGGTGGAGCTCCACATGGAAGGCCTCCTTTCCCATTCATTTCAGTGATAATCAGTTCCCTTCCTTCACACCTAGACTTTTAATAGGCTATACAAGGTTTCATTCTCTGCAACAGGACCTGAGATGGGAAGACTGAAACATGACAGCATCTGAAGACAGGTCAAGAAAGTGTTTCTTGTTGATGGTTAGAGAGCCCTTGGCAAGCACACATTGCAGGCCACATAGCAAACAAACCTGCATTGCTACTTAACACCACAGAAGAGCACCACAGGCACCAGGGAAGGAAGGCCCAGCCTGTCCTTTACTTTGTTGTTCGCTGTCCCTTATGCTGTGTTACAGGAAGGAGAACCCACTGTCTGGCACCTACGTACCTGTGCTGGGGTTTTGTTGTGCTTGGCTGCAATCTCTTTGATCTTGGGGTCATCCAGAAGGGAAGGGTCCTCTGGCTTAGCCCTGCACAGAGGAAAGATGATCAGTGGTGGGAAACTTCCCTAGATCCAACCTAGCAGATATCTGTATCTGGATGAATAACTAATAGTGCACTTCTAGTCTCAAAGTTTCAAGCATAATCCATGCCAGCTCCCTTGCAAAGCACAAACCAGTCTTACCATGGCCTGTCAGGAGAGCCAAGTGGGCTGTATGCTGTCACAGCAATCCCTCTGGACTGACAGTACTTGATCAGCTTCTCCTGGGTAAGGTATGGATGACATTCAACCTGTCAACACAAGAGTACAGAGATTGACAGTGATTTAACTGCTTTAACAGGGATTAGTTTTTCACCAAATTAAAGGCTGATTTTTGTTCTAACTTGTAGTGTCTGTGCGACATTACACACTGTTTTCTGTATGCACCCACCCCCTTTCTACTATCCCTAGCAGTTCTGCTTGCAGTGAAGGATCCAAACACTGTAACACCACTTCTTAAAACTTTGCTGATCCATATAATCACCAGCTTCGTATTTGCTCGCTATAATGCTTCAGTAAAATGCACTCAAGAGAACTGTAAAATCGTAACAATAGGATAGCAGACCAGTAATACTAAGTTCTGTTTCCACCCCTAACAAAACATGCTATAATGCCTTTTTTTTTTCCCCAACTACCACATTGACTTCAATACCAGTATAGTTTCATTCATTTTTATTTGCTTTGTGTCAATACTCATGCTGAATACCTCCACTCTGCAAACAGTGAGAACGGCTAACTGCTACAGATTTTAGACCTCCAGCTTACTATCCATTACAGACTTTTTATAAACGCATGTGTACTCACCATGCATTTCAATACGAATATCTACACAAGAGAATGTAGACTCCTTAACTGTGGATCTGTATTGTGGCAAGCTAACGCACAGATACGCAGCACAGAACAGGAATTATTCACGTGTTGGGAGGCAGTGAATGAACATGAATATCCAATACTCTGCATACAGAGACTTTCAGGGTAGTTCCAAACCAGGAAGCACTACTTTTCTTGCAGCAGGCAACATCAAGAACCTTTTTGACTACACTGTCACCTGAGCCTTCTGCAGCCTGCTGCTGCATTCTGGGGCAAGTCCCTGGAAACTTGTGCTACTGGCAGCTGGAGCCACGGCATCAGTTTACAGCCTTGAGTGCTTTATTTGTGCTCCTAGTTCCTTGCTGCTATCAGCAACCTGCACGGCTGTTTCCCTTCTGGGGCATGTTGGAATATTAGACAACAGGACATGCAATGCAGTTTTTGGGACAGATTATGCATATTTGTTTTGCTTCAGCAGCTCCAGAAACACAGATACTCCAGAGTAACAGAGCACCTGGTTATTTTCTCAACTATTCAATAGACAGAATTCATGCAGTGTAAGCAAGGCAAAGTCATCCTTACCTGCCCACTGGCACTCATGCTGAAAAACTCCTGAGCTACATTATCTACCCTTATGTTTGGACCAGGGTGAAAAAACCTATGATGTACATTTAAACAAGTATCTTAAGCTATTGCAATCCACACTGTGTGATAATGATCAAGTACCTAAGAGCCTTACTTCCTTACTGAACTGGAGTACTAGGATCACTGTAATGCAATTATTACCTCGCCAAATTAATTTCTCACCACAAACAAAACCAATGTTCATACTGACTGCATTCAAATTAAAAATGGGAATGACACCAAATACAGCGGATTACTGGATTACACATGAACCACATGCATAGAGAAAGTGTTTGCAGGAAGCACTATCACTATTAGGCCAACAGGCAAGAGTTGATAACAGACAAGCTTTCAGGATTGCAAGCATTTCTTCAGAAACAACAAGTTTTGAAGGGCAGGGAGTAAAGACCCATTGCTCTGAGTTTAACTAGATTATAGTAATCAGAGAGTTTGAGAACATTTGCAAGGGAGAGGTATAAGGTCAGTGACCTCTATGAAGGAGACAAGGGTAATTATCAGCTACAGTGATAATGGCAACGAGGTGTGGCAGATGTTGAAAGGTATCGTAAGGCTTTTACTAAGTATCCTAAAAGTACATTGGAACTGATATTGAAAATATAGTAGAGAATTATGAATTTTGCACCTGTCAATGTTTCAGTTATACACTGAATAGAATTCCAGAGAACAATCCTATCAGCTTCCTGAAAAAAAGCATTTAAACCCCTTTTCAGTACATATGCTCAAACTACCACAATAAATTTACCAGTTTTGTAATCAGGTATCAGTAACTGAGACTGCAGTACTTCAAACACCATGGCAATCAAGGACATGTCTAGATAGACCCCACATGGGTCTGCCCTGGGACCTCCATTCCTCTTCAACAACTTGCACCATGCTATAATCTTGTCAAGTTTGCAGGTGATGCCAAATGGGGAGGACCAGTCAATACACTCAAGGGCAGGGCTGCCACTTCAGAGGGACCTACTCAGGCAGGAAGAACAGGCCAACAAAAACCTTATGAAATTCAAGAAGGCTGCACACAAAGCCCTGCACCTAGGAAGAAAAAGCTCCTGGCAGTAACATATGCTGGAACCTGACTGCCTGCAAAGCAACTCTGCTAGAAACAACCTGGGGGCCATACATAGTAGGCTGAGCTGAACATGAGACAGTGGTGAGCCCTGGCAGCAGGAACACAGCCAATAAACTGTGGGTAGTGATCATCTGTCTACTCTGCACTCGTCAGACCACCTTTGTAATACTGTATCCAGTTTTTCCCCTTTCCAGCTACCTCAGTAGAAGGACTGATCGACTGTCACGAATTCAGCACAGGGCCACGAGGATGGCTGGGGGCTGACGAGCCTTCTGTATTGGGAAAGGCTAAGGGAGCTCAGCTTGTTCAGCTTAGAGCAGGGAAGGCTTCACATCTCTTAGTAGCAGCTTTTTAGCACCCAAAAGAAGGTCATCCAAAGACAAGGCAAGCTCTTCAGTGCTGCACAGTGGCAGGACAAGAGACAAGAGGCATGAGTTGAAACTGGATATGAAAACGCTCCCTCTGTCCCCCACAGAGCCAAGGTCTCCTACCACCTGAATTTCCCTAAGATTTTAAGTGCTGTCTATATACCTGGACACTTTTACTCTATGGCCTACGTTGCAATTCCATTTCCTCCTTCCAACCCTCATTAAACCTGTAGCAGTCCATAAAGCATGTTCCTGCTCAGTTCCCTCAGTCATCGGCAACAGGAACTGGCATCTCCACAGAAGAGTTGCAAAAAGGTCATACAACTCTGTTAGGTACTCATACATATACACCATATACACCAAGTTTTACTTTACCTGAAATAAGTTTTTAAAGCTCATCTGAGCTCCCATCCATTTCCCCCCCTCCCCCCAGAAAAAAAGTATTCTGGAGATGCTCACTGCCAGATTCCCAAGCAGCAGTGTAAAAAGCCCATAAAAACCAGCACCTTGTGCATCCAGAAGTAACTAAAGGGTGTGTCTACTCCATTCTCTCTTTCTGTAAGATTATTTCATAATACAATTTTAGTAATTCTTAAAACAAACAAACACGACCCAAACATCTGCCTGCTGTCACTCAGCAGCTTACCTGGTTATTTGCAGGCTTGTACTTCAGTCCTGGCTTGTTCAAGATTCTTTCAATCTGCTCATGGTTAAAGTTGGAGATACCAATGGCTTTTACCAGACCAGCATCCACCAGCTCTTCCATAGCCTAACAAAAAGAAGTGCAAAGTCAGCATCTAGCACACATGACAGGGCCTGAATAACATGTTCTTCCTGACACAGCTTATGTCCTTCATGAGACGCACACAATAAGCATTTAGATTTTCAGATTTCAAGTTTGAGGAAAGGGACAAGAGCATTAGTATATTTGTGCCCATTTCAAAGCTCAAAGACTCATTCTCTGAGGCTGTGGAAATTCACAGCAAGTTGGAAGTGGAAAATAACGATACCCAACAATCCACTATTGTACCAGTGAGTCCCTCCACATAGTTCAGCATGCACCAGACAATTTAGACTGCTGAGGACAGAACACACGATTCTCCTACTGTGGCTAAACTTACCTCCCATGTCTGTAGAATATCTGTGTTGCTGGGTATTGACATGCCTTTGTCATCTGTGGGAAACAGCTCCTCTCCTGCCTGTCAGTGACAAAGAAAATGCTTGAAACACTCTTTGGTGAGCAGTTCTGTTAACACCAGCTGAAGACCATGATACTACAAACTCCTACTGCAGGACATGCTAATACTCATTACCTACATATGTATTACATAATACTAATACTCATTATCTACATTCTTCAGTCTTTTCTTTTGCTTTCACATAGGATTATGGCATTTTTTGCCCACAGCCATCCCAATAAAGGCAAGTACTTCTGCTGCACACAACGTCCTCTGGCTCATTAAAATACACACAGTGAAACATAACTCTCCACTTGTAGAACCAGAGCCAGATTACAAGTTTACTTTCTGTATTACAAAAATACACAGTTCTTACGTGGACATAAAGTGTTCTACTAAAATGTGTAATAAGGACCAATATTGAGTCTATACTGGACCAGATCTGCTGACAGGTCTTTCATGGGGAGACTCGTTGATTAAGTTGCTGGCAGAGGGAATGTTACAACACCCTGTGTCCCAGTTCGGACTACAGGCCAGGTATTAACTTCATTCAGAACCAGCTGTTTTCTACTGGTACGTTATTACACCACAACACATTTTCATTTCAATAGTTCATCCATATGAAACTAATTTTAAAGAGACAGATGCTACAAAAAACCTAGTTGTTCTCAGAAACAACAAGGAGAAAAAAGATTTTGATCAGGCTCTGACAGAAAGACTAAATTTAAAAATATTCAAAGCAAGACATCAGCTCCTTTGCATGCAGTCAGTAAAAGAGTTAGGAACTAAAAACCTTCACCTTTTGAAATCAAAGGTCTATGGAACACTAAGGCTCCTACAGCAAAGGTCAGTTCAATCTGTGGTGTATTAAAGGACTCCATGATTAAAGACAGAAATGGAAGACAGAAACATTTTCTTGTTCTGTGATTCTGTAACATGCAGAGGAAAGAATTTTTGTCAGGCAGCAAAGCACAGCGCTCCTTATCACAAAGGCAGAACCACATCATTGTCAGCTGAGCATCCTTTGCATTTTAGAAGGCAACACACAGACAATAACCAAAATGAGAGCAATATAACATATGCTTGCAGCAGGGAAGCCTGCCCTTAGTTCACGGTCTACCTTCTCCATGATCAAAAGGGCAGAGGATGCCGTGCAAGCAGCAGTCTTAGAGGTAGAGATCAACAGCCTGGCTCACACAGCCAGGCAGTGCTGGTACACAACAGACACATGATGATCTGTGTTAGCTGGAGCAATTACTGGGCTGTAAATACATACAGCTCTTCAAAACTGCCAGTCACAACACATAAAGCCAAGAGCATTACTGTTACTGTACCTTGAACCCAAGAGGCCAGTGGATAAGGTACAGATCCAGGTAATCCAGTTTCAGGTCAGCAAGAGTCTTCTGGCAGGCTCCCTTCACCAGAGGCTTTTCATGAAACGTGCACCATAGCTACGAACAAAAAGTTAAGGCACACCATGACTTCCTAGGTTAAACCTCCTGGAACCCTTCTGTCTTGTTCAGGAGAGTGCCTGTCCTCTTTGGAAGGCGATGTGGAACTAGGCCATCCTACTGATCCTCAAACAGGGCTTGCTCCATGACCAAGGCTGGCCCACGATACCAAGTGCAGCACGCATGACCGAACAGTGTCGTGGCAGGCAGCAGCAGTAGTGTGGCTCCGTTAATTAAGACTTCATTTAAAAACCACCTACTAGCAGGTCAGACACCGCACGAAAGAGGTCAGCACTGCCTCACGCCAGGAAAAGATCAAAGCATCGCCCATGTCGGTGGTACATACCCTGCACCATTCTCCATGCAGGATGGGGCACAGCTTGTCTCAGGAGTGGCCTCAATGCTGTTCTGCATTGTTCCACGCTGCACCACGGCGTAGAAAGGTAAAGAACTGGGGGGGGTTACTACAAAAAACCCCAGGTATCCCCCGAGATCCCATACCACCAGATCCTCACCTTACTGACAACGAAGAGGTCCTCTCGTTTCACAACACCTGCCTTGATTTTCTGCTGGATCCCCTCCCCAACTTCGTTTTCATTCTGGTAGACGTAGGCACAATCGAAGTGCCGGTACCCAGCGTCAATCGCAGCCATCACCGCAGCTGCTACTTTCCCTGGTGGGGACTGAAAAGACAACGTCCAAGAAACTCTAACCGCTGTATGCTGAAGACGTTTTTCCTAGCAAGATAAAAATTCGCAGCCATCACCGCAGCTGCTACTTTCCCTGGTGGGGACTGAAAAGACAACGTCCAAGAAACTCTAACCGCTGTATGCTGAAGACGTTTTTCCTAGCAAGATAAAAATTCAGAAAGCCACCCAACCTAAAGCGAGTCCCCAATTAAAATAAAGCAAAACAACACTGACAGTATCAGCTTTTCCCGCAGCGTTCCCGGGCCCGGGCCCACCGCCCCCCTCCCGGGCAGGGCTCGGCCAAGGCCC